AACATGAATATTCTTTACCGGGAAGTAGTTGTAAAGAACAGAGAAATGTAAATTAAACGATTGTTTTATCGTAATATGATGAATCAGTTGAAGTTGGAAATGTAGACCATCAGTCTAAGAATATTAACCTCAGGAAAAGACTAGAAAGTTTTCGGTTGCTGATTAGTTTTAAACATAGTGAAAATAAATCAGAAGGGGTATTTTTGTGGTTATTTCAGTTTTTTCGTAGTTGAGATCATTAGTCAATTGAACCTAGACCACCATGGAAAACCTGGAAGCACTGGACGGCCGTTTCTTCCTATTTTGTGACTCCTCATCAATGCGCATCCTGGGTTCAAATCTCGCGAGGCAGGATCGTTGATGCGCACTACTGAGGAGTCCTAAAATAGGACGAAACGGCCGTCCAGTGCTTCCAGTTTTCCATGGTTGTCTTTCTTCAATTAACTCATGATCAAAACTACGAAAAAGTGAAAATAACTTTACAATGCACCTTGTTTGTGTCAGTTCTTGACGATATCATTTCTTTACATTTAGAATATTCTCTACAAACCGACTGGTTAACTATGTGTAGATGATATTCATCATAGATTGATCTTATTTTCAAAACCATTGAAAAATAGGAAGTACTAGACAAATGTTTCTTGCTGGTATAGAACTCCTTAGAAATGTATACCAATGATCTCGTCAATCATCAAACCCAGGACCTCTAGGTCTAGTGAGGAATGCTTGACTATTAAAATTGCTGAGTCGGGATTCAGTGCTATGTGTTTTTAACTACAACTGATCTTTATCATGGCACGACAACCAACCAGTATCATTGGTGATAACGGCCCCACTTCAGACATGTCTAACCTCCACTGAAAAAGATGACTGGTCATTTCCTAATAATTGTTGGTATGATACTACAATATATTTATCAGAAACATTGTGTACATTAATTTAAATGTCCTTTTTGAGGATCAAAGTGATATTTAATCATGATTCATTTATCATGTCAAATATTTTGCAAATATACGGAAAAAAATGGTACACGAAGTCAGAACCCCTACAGAAAACCTACTCATATGTAACCAGATAAAATAGAAGTGATTAGGATGAAATGAAACTTGATATCATATTTTAATTAAGTGTGATATTTGTTCTGTATAACAGTTGCTATAATCCAATGAAATACTTGCATGATTTTTATTACGGATGATATTATTCATGTACATAAATTCAGTTTGGGTCTTGATAAGATTACTTCTTGCTTTAAACTATGATGATAAAATAATTTTAACAGTTGAATTCATATGTTGATCTAAACTAGATCACCATTGAAAGCATGGAATCACTTGGTGACAGTTTCGTCCTAGCATGGGACTCCTCAGCAGTAAGAAGCCACGATCTTCACAAATCCCCATTCTCATAATAAAATAGTTGTCGAGTTCTTGAGAGGTGAATAAAATCTCTGTTTTCCATCAGTTTTCTGTTTTACCCTCTGTTACATAAATCTTAGATTTTCCTCTTTCACACTGTATAATCTTACAGAATACTAGATAGTCTTTGATGTCTACTTCATAATCTCTACAAAAGTGTAAATATGTACAAGACTAATATGAACTGAAGCAGTTAGAAACAAGAGAGTATAACTTACATAAATATCGTTCAAGTTTAAGGATTCAAATGGATACAAACACGTAACGTTATACAGACATCAAACGTCACACTTTTTCAGTCTCATTAATAATCACATCAAATTGGGAATCTATTAACTTAGTATCACATTGAAATTTGAAACTTAAGATCTTTTATTTCAAACATCTATGGGTTATCCAATAATATATTGAGTTTAGGTAAAGCCAGAACAACATATGGATGCAGAATAATATGAAATCATTATACCTCATGGTTTCTCATCAGCTGCCTACAACCATATATGTACTGAAAGTTAACACTGAGATAAGATTTAGTGTGGAACAATTGATATAGATGAATGAAAAAGAATTGGAATGACAAAGGTTATCAATAATAACTCAACATGTATGTAAGGGAACAGTTCGGATGTTATTTTGGTGTTGGAATACAAAATGCATAAGGGGTGAGTGATTCATTAATTAAGTGAGGTCCGGAGACAAATAAGATAGATTGTGTAATAATTTTAGAGGTTATGAGGGGTTTACATAAGATTCTTAGAATTAAAAAAAAACTAACAAGATAGGTTGCGTAATAACTGAATAGGATTTTAAGACTTAAGAGAATCTACTAACTTTTTCACAGGTATGATGTTACATATATCTATCTAACATTTTCACTAACATTGTAAATTTTCAATAGAGATATGTTTTAAATCTTAATACAATATAATTGACAAACTTCTACCCGAAGTTTGTGCTGATGTCGTTTAGAAGGACGATGAAAGCTCCACGACCAAACCATCCATCTCAGAGGACAAAACTCCATCAAAATCACCCACCTGAGCTACAAAGCTTCTCCACCATCTCATAAGTGATGTTTAAATTGAAACAACTGAAGTTCCTAATAACATTATATTTGTTTGTAAACCTTTTAAAGTCTTGTTAAAATCACCAGTAAGTTTATTATAATAATTAATTAGGATTTAGTTAAGATGATTAGTAAGATAGTTATTAACAATTTAATAGATAATTTTCAGCATTTAATTGATATCAAATGGAGAACTCATGAAAACTAAAAAAGAGAAATAAGTAGCTTTTTTGTTACTGTTTCTATAGTTGTTTTTAACAGTACAATACTCATCATCACATATGACAATAGATTACAAGGGTTCAGGTCGCATAATGAGGCAGATTATATGCACTGGTAATGCCAAACTTATTTTATAATTTATTGTTTGTTTTACGATTTCTAGTTCTTATATCTTCTCTTTACAACTAACCAAATTGTTAATTAAACATTTAAGGGTAAAAAACGGTTGAATAGAAAAGTTAGTTATACAGTTTTAGGATTTATGCATACTAGTATATACATGTACCTTTTATGTGAAGTCTAAAAAAATGTAACATTTAAATGAATCAGATTGTTGAACAAAAATATAACCGCTGAAAAACGAAACGAAAGAGAGTCGTTTCATTCTTAGTACTGTATAGTTCCAAATCAAGACGTAGGATCAATTCATGAAATCCTTAACTATTGAATTAAACCAATATTGACTGTACATACTACTTACTTGTGGTATGCCTAATAACTACGATCAGTGGTTAGAGAAATAGTTCGCAGGGTTCAAAATTAGTCACAGTAACACAGATAAACTCTCACTTTATCCACTTCTGGATCTTAAATACCGGTAGTTCTTTACAAATACCATTTTATTTCGTCTTCTTAAACTAGATTTTTAATGTTTATTCTTTTTCACTATCAGTAATACTACTATTATTTCAACTCTTTCTCTATTCATCTTGTTATTTTCATTTTGTCATATTAGTACGGTATTACAGTTTAATTTGATTCATATATGTACCAGATTCTGTATTGATCATGAATGATCAACTGACTTAGTGTACAATTTATTTCCTTTTTATAATTAGTAATCTTTATCCAATTTTCATAATAATTCTTTCATACAAATTTATCAGTCTGTATTCAGTCAGCTAGTCAGCTACGACGTAGGTGCAGGCACACATATGCATCAGTCCAAGTTGCCATACCTCATTAGAACAACAAGATGAGCATCGGATTCATGGAAGTAGTTAAGTTAGTGGTGGTAATATATAAAAGAAAGGTTGTTTATAAGAATATAATACAGGAAGAAAGACAGATATGAGGCAATTTTAATCTCAACGTTTAAGGGAAGATAAAGAGTGTATACACCTGCGTCATTGTGATCGATTCTGAGCCATGTCACCTGAAGTCTCCAACCATTGGTTATGATAGTCACGCGAACCTCAACCAAGTAGTCTCTATTATATTATTACATTTTGCATGAATATAAAATTTAAATTAAAGTTGGTTTTAAGCAAGATTATATATCAACTTGGTTACTACTGATAGCTGAGGACACACTGAACAACTATTTTATACTAACGTATGAATAAACAACAGTGTTTACTTACAACGTCATATTAAATGGAACATACAACCTTTAAGATCTCATAAAGAGTGTATTATCTCTAGAACACTGAAATGATTTCTAACTTCAATTATATTTCCTTAAAAATAAAGTATACTTCTTATGATTATGCAATTTTACGAATGAAAATTTAAATCATCAATATATTTACAGCACTTTTCTCTTCTTTTCTTTTCTTGGTTTTATTCAAACTATTATTGATTTCTTGGAAAAAATTTAGAGAGACATTAACTTTTTCAATTTTAATCCCAGTTTACTTACAGAAAAATGTCTACAGAGATCAATATTATGCTGGATTTTTATCCTTATTTGATTTAATAATGCGACATGGTATATACAAGTAAAGGTTTTTCGATCTAGTATGAATCACTGGCTGACATCATTTGGAGGATTATTGAGAACTGATAAGGAATGAATAATTATTTCATCTTATTTTACACTACACACTGCCTTCAGATAGACGACCATTGGAGACTGGGAAGTACTGACTAAATGTTTCATCTTAGTACAAGGATCATCACTATCACTTATTTATAGCCCTTAAAAGGATCGACCTTTAAGTATCACAAAATTATAACCCTCAAATTACCAACATTATATCAAGCCCTTTATATTTATAATTAATTAATTTGTTATATTACTTTTGATGATATCTTTCTTATACCCGATGTGGTTGATTCCATTTGATCATAGCTTTTCTTTAACATTCCAGAAATTATCTCTCGAGACTGATCACTACCAAGTGAATAGTGATAGCTTGTAGCCTAACAATAATGTTGACTCATAATAAACTTTCATGTTTAACAATCAAAACAATATTATCTATACTACATTTCGTAACATCCTTCCATTATTATTAAATGCTAAATTATTATATAAATGAATGAAGATTAATTTTCAATTAATCATTTACCTTTAGAATGTACACGTTTCATCCATGGATAAATTACAGTGATATTTGGTTGACGATTATTACTACTATTATTATTATTGTTACTACTATTAATATTCATTGTTGTTTGATTAGAATATTTATTTGATAAACGTTCATTTTTATGTAATTGTTGTAAATTTTGTAATGTATGTTGATTAATTATTGGCATCATCAATGTACTATTATTTCTTGATGTTAATGGTGATGTACACGATGATGATGTGGATGATAATGATGATGATGACGATAATTTCGTTGATAATACATGATAAGATGATACTGAGTCCAATAATTGTCCGGTTGGAATGTTATTATTAGTAAATGAAGGATAATTACGAACAGAATGGGATGTTGTAAAAGTATGATTGGTAACAAGTGGATCATCATTATTACTATTATTACTCATATTATCAATAGTAGTATTAGTAGCAGTAATAGAAGTAGTAGTTGTTGTGGTAGTAGTAGTAGTAGTATTACAATTTTCTCTTGCTGATACAATTGAATTTGTAGATATATTAAATTTATTAAGTAAATCGTTATCAACATTATCATTTTGATTAGTAATTGGAACAGAAGACTGTTTAGAGTTAAGATATTTCCATGAATTATTTGGAAATTGATAAAAATCATGTTGATGATGGCGTGTATGTGGGTGTTCATCACTGTGTTGTATTTGTTGTATTTGTGAATGAAAATTTGCATTACGCATCATCGTCACTTGATTCATGGCATCAAATTCAAAATCTTCAGTGTTTCTTCGATTTGTTTGCATAAAATGTGAATGATTTGAAAGGCATACAACATTTTCTACATTGGAATTATTAAATAAATCAATTGAATTCGAGCATGAATCCAACATTTCCTGTTGATAATGATGATGTGGATGATATTCAGGAAAACTGTGTTGTCGTGTTTGAATTGGTGATTGTTGAGAAATTGACGATGACGACTGATGTGAACGATTATTATTAGCATTAATATTATTATTATTATTATTATTTACTGTCAGTTCAATGTCCAATGAATCCGACTCTTCCACAGTTTGCAAATCATCATCAATAATATCACATACATTTTCTGATTTTGTCTTAAACAAGACCAATCGATTGTTCTGTTCTGTTTGAAATCGGGGATTTAATTCCAGTGTTGATCTTTGATTATCTGATACTGAATGAGATGATTGGGTTAACACTGAAGTAGATGATACTTTAAGATATTGTTTATGAGGCGTTGGAGGTGGTAGAGGGGGAGGAGGAGGTTGGCGCTGTTGGGATTGTGTTATGACATTATTCACTGAACCTAAGATCCCTGTTGTTGCAATTGTTCTTGTTGATTTTGTTATATGCCTCATATATGCATCAACATATTGATTATCACTATATGATATCTGTGTGAAATCATTCCCTGATGGAAGTGAAGAATAATTAGAAACTGATACATGATTACCCCTGTTACTATCATCATCATCGTCATCATCATCATCATCCCCACCACTACAACCAATACTACCCCTATTAGTAACAATAATATTTGAAAGATTATTTATCCTTGTAGGATAATTAGAACCAATCGCATGTTTAGGTAAATTTGCAATCGTTTGCGAATTTTGCATACTGAGTAGAACACTCATTTGATGATAATTATAAATTAAGTTCACTGAATAGGATTTTTGTAATTGTATAAAGAAATGATTGTTCCTATTAATTTATAATTTGAGATAAATATTGACTTTGTATGAATTATGTATTGTAAGTAAATGTTTAGATATTTTACTATTGTATGTATGGATACATATGTATGTGTGTCTAGGTGTATAGTTAACGAATAGGAATGAATAAATGTTTCTTTTTTTGCACACTTTTCTCCTCCGTTAGGTAAATAGTTCACAATTATTTATATTTGATTACAAAATAATTATTAATGATACTTAAGTATGTAAATTGATAATATTTCCTTTATTTATAAATAGGATTGTTGAATTAGAATAGAGTAAGTAAAAGAGTAAAAAAAAAACAATGCACAGACATTTATGTATAGGTTTGTATACGCCCAAAGTGGATAGTTACAAAGAAACGGAGACACATATACAGGATATTACAACAACTAAAAAAGAAATCCAAATGATTAATGGTTAATTCTGAATATATATGTATATTTCAATAAATGTTCAATAGATCATATACACATTTGTTTTACTTGTGTACATAAATACTTTGTTGAATTTTTAAACAAAAATCACTATGTAATTTTTTTCTTCTACTTTCTATCGACAGTTGTAAGAATGTAATGTTAGTAATAATAATAATAATGGCCAGAACTTGATTTTTCTGTTGTCAGATCATAAAACTATTTCCTTTTAGACAATGTATGAAACATTATTATTATTAGTAGTAATGGTATTGCTCAGGCGGTCATTTTCATAGTATTCATAATTCATAGTATAGTAATAATGATAGTACTATTATTATTATTATTAATAAGGTGACATTTGTAAAACATTTTTCATGTGATAAAACAAAAAAAATTGAAAATTGAATGACATAAATTTATCGGCAAAGATTTTTAAATTTGAAATGCAAAAAAATGAGAAATGAATATCGAATACATACACAGACATACAAAATACACATTCTTTGGTATAGGTTAAAATCATACTATTTTTTTTATTTTCTCAACTAAAAGGAATTATGATCAAGGGGGGAACTGTAATATACTCTATTCTTATCACTATTGTTGGTGGTGTTTTGTTCTCTCTCTACGGTAATAATTTTTTTCAATCATTCAATTCATAGAAGGATGAAATATATGGAATATTTGTAAAATTTAAAGAACGCAGACAAACACTGTTGGCTCGCTTTTCTTATATGTTTGTCTGACTATCTAAACAATGTAGCCAATCAAAATAAAGACAAGCCTTTAAACCGTGTATCTATCTATATATAACGTGTATACATATATTTAATAACAGATTTTCTTCAATTCTGTATAGCTGAAAAAAGGGGTGGAAATTAGTCAGATACATACAATATATATATGTAGTCCATTAACTTGTTATTGATTTGTATTCTACTCACAAAATGATAAACGTGAGCTCGAAGAAAACAATTTTTTATCATCTAAAACAATATTTGGTATGAATGAAATCAAGATTCACTTGTTACCAAAATAATTATTATTAGAATGGAGGTTTATAGAAATTGTAGTGAATTTTTTAAATAATTAGATTCATGAGTCTATTGAAGCTAGATCACCCTTGAAACCTGGAAGTACTGGACGACCGTCAAGTTCTAGTATAGGACTCCTCATCAATGCAAATCCACGATCTCACATGCGGAACTCGAACCCAGGACCTTCAGCCTCACGCGCGAACGTTCAACCTCTAGATCACTGAGCTGGCATCCAAAGGTGTTAATGTCTGACTTCAATTGATCCATAATCCTGCATGCGGGATTGTGGATGCGTATTGTTGAGGTCCCTCATACTAAGACGAAACGGTCGTTCAGTGCTTTCAGGTTTTCAATGGTGGTCTAGCTTAGATCTACTGATGAATTCAACCAAAATAATTATCACTATTTTAGTGCTAGTACTATTTAGTTGCAACATATCATCCTGTGATATTGGAGACACTGGTTTTCTCAATACTATAGATACTCCTTGTCAATAAGAATTAACTGGTAGAAAACCCAGGTTCATGAGAATTGATAGATCAGTATTAGTGTTTTTTGTCATCCCATTGATTTGTTCATTGCTTTGTTCAATTTCATATCATTTTATAACTGACAATATTTCAGAATAAAATTTTTATTTCTAATTATTTTCACATGTGTAGTAATTAAATCTTCCCATTAGTTTATTCAGTCCAATAAAAATACAATAAATTTACCAGTGACTAAGTAATCATAAGATGTAATATACTTGTTGAATTGAATAAACCATGCACTTTATTGTAAAATGACTGGATTTGTAACTATTGTCCATAAGATTCAAACTGAGTGATTGAAAAGTACATAATTCATCGCAAAAGTTAAATGTTGTTTTAATTCATTGAACGGATACGGTTACTTACCACTGAGGGATTTCAAACTGAAACTGAATAGTTTTACCTTATTCTTTCCAATATTCAGTAGTTTTTTTACTTAAAACCAATTTTTCATAATTTTCCTTAAGTAATTCATGCTGATAGATAGATAATTAGGTATGTAATACAAAATTACCTTCAAACTAAGCAACTAGCCTATCGTGTCACTGTGTCATTGACCTTCGATCCATTTACTGAGTAAGGAGAAATCGTAATTAGCATCAAGTATATCAAAGATCTTACTCACTTAACACGAATTCAATGTTTTTCATGTTCTTTGAGCTAGATAGTTCAACTGAGGAGCTTCCGTTATCATTTCGGACAATATAATCAAGGATTACCCTATCATTTCAGAATTCTATGAGCATATTACACTTCCGTCTGTTTGAAAAGTGGATGAATTTCGTCTAAAGATTAAATTAATTCAATAGATTTTAACCATACTGAAATATAATTCATGATAGTTATGAATTGACGATATGGTGATCTGCAATAAAGTAAGAAAAATTGAATTGTTACATTATGGAAAATTCTACAAAATTATTTAGCAATTAAGAAAAAATATCAATTCATCAATTTCTTACTTACTTACTTACGCCTGTTACTCCCAATGGAGCATAGGCCGCCGACCAGCTTTCTCCAACCCACTCTGTCCTGGGCTTCCTTTTCTAGTTCTTTCCAGTTCTTGTTCATTCTTCTCATGTCTGTCTCAATTTCTCGGCGTAATGTGTTCTTTGGTCTTCCTCTTCTCCGTTGACCTTCAGGATTCCATGTGAGGGCTTGTCTTGTGACGCAATTAGCTGATTTCCTCAAGGTGTGCCCAATCCACTTCCAGCGCTTCCTCCTGATTTCTTCCTCTGCTGGAATCTGGTGTGTTTTCTCCCACAGTAACTTATTGCTAATAGTGTCTGGCCATCGGATCCGAAGTATTTTGCGTAGACAGCTGTTGATGAACACTTGTATCTTCTGAATAATGGCTTTCGTAGTTCTCCACGTCTCCGCCCCATACAGTAGAACTGTCTTGACATTTGTATTGAAAATTCTAACCTTGGTGTTGGTTGACAATTGTTTTGAGCTCCAGATGTTTTTCAGTTGTAAGTATGCTGCTCTTGCTTTGCCGATCCTCGCCCTCACATCTGCATCTGATCCACCGTGTTCATCAATGATGCTGCCCTGATATGTAAAGGTTTCCACATCCTCGAAAGCTTCTCCGTCAAGTGTAATTTGATTGGTGCACATTGTGTTGTATCGGATAGTCTTGCTTTTCTCTTTGTTTATATTGAGACCTACTGCTGCTGAGGCTGCTGCTACACTGGTCGTTTTCTCCTGCATTTGTTGTTGCGTTTGTGATAGAAGAGCCAGATCATCCGCGAAGTCTAAATCGTCAAGTTGCATCCTGCCTGTCCACTGTATCCCGTGCTTTCCTCCAGTCGTTGACGTCTTCATGATCCAGTCGATGACCAGGAGAAAGAGAAACGGTGAGAGTAGGCAACCTTGCCTAACACCGGTCTTTACCTCGAACGAGTCGGTGAGTTGTCCTCCGTGGACGATTTGGTAGTTTAGTCCATCATAGGAGTTCCGTATGATATTTACTATCTTCTCAGGCGCGCCGTAGTATCGAAGAAGCCTCCATAGTGTCGTCCTGTCCACGCTATCAAATGCCTTCTCGTAGTCGATGAAGTTGATGTAGAGTGATGAATTCCATTCGATTGATTGTTCCACAATGATCCGCAGAGTGGCGATTTGATCTGTGCACGACCTATCCTTACGAAATCCAGCTTGTTGATCTCGAAGTTGGGCGTCCACGGAATCCTTCATCCTGTTTAACAATACTCGGTTGAAGACTTTTCCCGGTATTGAGAGAAGAGTGATGCCCCTGTAGTTGTCGCACTTGCTCAGATCGCCTTTCTTTGGTATCTTGATCAGAAGTCCTTTTTTCCAGTCTGTTGGTACTTGTTCTTCGTCCCAAATCTTACTGAAGAGGATGTGGAGTATCTTGGCAGTTGCTGCTACACTTGCTTTCAGTGCCTCTGCCGGGATGTTGTCTGGTCCCGCTGCTTTGCCACTCTTGATTTGTCTAATGGCCATGCTGATCTCTTCAATTGTTGGTGGGCCAATATCGATTGGGAGGTCCATGGGTGCTGCTTCGACGTTGGGTGGGTTCAGTAGGGCTGGTCGATTCAAGAGTTCTTTGAAGTGTTCAACCCACCTGTTACGTTGTTCTTCAATGTCGGTGATTACTTTGCCCTCCTTGCTTTTCACTGGTCTTTCTGGTTGACGGTAATTTCCAGCTAGTTTCTTTGTTGTATCATACAGTTGTCTCATATTTCCCTCTCTTGCAGCCTTTTCCGCTGTCATCGCTAAATCTTCAACATATTTACGTTTGTCGGTTCTGATGCTCCTCTTCACTTGCTTATTTGCCTCTGTGTATTCGGCTTGTGTCTTGGTTTTTTGCGCTCTTGTTCGGCTGATATTGATTGCTGCCTTCTTGTTCCTCCTTGCTTCAATCTTATCCAGTGTACCAACAGTGATCCATTCCTTGTGATGGTGCTTCTTTTGGCCCAGAACCTCTTGACACGTTGAAACGATTGCCTCCTTGATACCTTTCCAGTTGCTCTCCATGGTAGTTCCCTCTCCATTGAGTAGGTCATGAAAGGCCTGGAACCTGTTGCTGAGGGCTATGTTGAATTTGTTGAGTTTGTCAGCATCTCGAAGAAAGGCCGTGTTAAACTTTTGTGATGTTGTCCGCGCCGTTGTCCACTGCTTCTTGAGTTTTAGTTTCATCTTGGCGACCAGCAAATGATGATCGGATGCTATATCAGCTCCTCTTCTGGTTCTCACATCCTCCATCGTCCTCCTGAACTTTTTGTTGATGCAGATATGGTCGATTTGATTCTGTGTAGTGTGATCCGGTGAAATCCAAGTGGCTTTGTGTATGTTTTTGTGTGGAAATATGGTGCCACCTACGACCAGTTTATTGAATGCACATAGGTTTGCAAATCTCTCACCATTTTCGTTCCTTCCTCCCAGTCCATGTTGTCCCATGACGTCTTCATATCCAGTGTTGTGCTTTCCAACCTTAGCATTGAGATCTCCCATCAAAATGGTCAGGTCCTTGGTTGGGCACTTCTCGACGATCGACTCCAGCCTATCGTAGAATTGGTCTTTAGCGTCTTCATCGTAGTCATTGGTAGGCGCATAGCATTGGATGGCGTTCATTGTAACGCCCTCTCTCTTTGTTTTGAAGGAGGCTTTGATGATCCTTGGTCCATGAGATTCCCATCCTATAAGTGCATTTTGTGCTTTTCTGGACAGCATCAATGCAACTCCTTGTGTATGTGGGGCATTTTCTTCTTCATGACCGGAGTATAACAGAAGTTCTCCTGAAGACAGTAGTTGTTGTCCAACCTGCGTCCAATGTGTTTCGCTGATTGCAAGCACCTCCAGGTTGTATTTTCTCATTTCTGCAGCGATTTGGAAGACTCTTCCGAT